CTGCCCGAAATATTTCCCAATCTCCAACTTCCAAGGCCCGCGCACTAAGCAATCGGTAGGCATATATACTTCGCAGTAGTAGGCCGGGCGAGCGCGCGTATTCAGCTATCTTTAAGGATTAATATCTCATTAACTATTGGAGAAATTTACAAAATGATAGAGGATTTTTTTAGAGAACTCAGTTTAGTCCGCTCTACCTGCCCATGAAATATTTGGTAATTATTTCCAGACACCTCGTATACACACACACACACACACACACACACACACGCACGCACGCACGCAATACACATATATACATATTTATTCATAAAATCCAAATTCATGAAATCCAATCTGCAAAACTCTACAATTTATTCGGTTAACGGCGTTTTAAATAAAGTAATTATTAATATATTTAAAAGAATATGGATTCAGAAAACTTGTTTCTTATTATTTGCGGATTATTAAATTCGTTAAAATAAAGTATTTATGTATTTAAAAAGAAGGAGCTGTGTCACAAGATTGCAAAGCTATATTATATGTATTATATAAACTTACAGAAAGAAATAAAAATAAAAAACGAATCTATATTTATTGTTACTGATGAAAGAAAATTACAATACTACAAGGAGCGAGTGATAATTTTGTAAAGAAAATACTGATCGAAGATAGAAAAAAATATGTGAATTATTTAGAATGCTACCTAAATTATTTAAAGCATTATTAACATTGTTGAACCAGTCATCACTAAAGAATATGTTGTTCGCAAACTTATTTCTGTCTAACCTAACCTATAGCTATCACTCGGCTTCAAATTACACGTACATTGCGCTATCTGGCATCAGAGGATAGTATGAAATCCTTGTCATATGCATTCAGAATTGCATAATACAATTTCAAAAATAATATATTTAATATATATATTTAATATAACTTAATTTTCTTACGGTTTTTGACTGAACAGTCAACATTTTTGTCTTCTTTGCACAATGCCTGCAATTTTATATCATTCCGTACATTGTATGCGCATAAAATAAAAACTTGGATCAAAATCGGAACGAATGTAAAACAAGTCAAACTAATGTCATGAATGTTCCGCCAATTCCGCATTGCGCATACGTTCCACACCATGGGAATGCGCCATTAAAAATATATATAGCAAATTTTCAAACGAAATTCATAAAATTGGCAAAGTTATAAGCAATAGATTTCATCAATTCACTTTTGCGCGAAGGTATATAATTTAGTGCACACTGTAACTGCTCCGATCTTTCTTCGGCCTGAATAGAATTTAAATTATAGGATCGATCTGTTCTTTATTCCTGCACTGTCAGAACTGGCGCAGACAGTGTAAGAAATGTTAAAGCGAAAATTTGTAAACATAAATTTGTTTAACTTCAATTTATTGCACCGTGTACCAGTTCAAATAATACAGAAATAAAGAATAGACCTATTGCTCCGAGAAGACAGAGAACAAAAAGGTTGGAAATTTTTTAAGGGCCTATTTTTACTTGTAGTCTAAAAACCTATCTACAATAGCCATGGCTGGTGGGAAGAAAAAATTGACCAATCGAATACTCGATACAACTAGTCCTTACTTTTCTCTACTCTACTCTTACATATTATGACTATTGTAGACGGGCTTTTAACGCAGCCATCTTTATTTCCACGTTGTTTCGTAAGGAAAAAACCCATTAGAATGTCAATAGAGAAGAGAATGCCAATAGTAATTATTAAAATGCTAATAGTAATTATTCAACAGCAATAATTACAAGCATTCAGTACTATTGCATTGAGTAAAACTAGTAATAAGTAGTTTCCACTACACAATTATAAACTATTGATCAGTGTGAACTTTCAGAAAGTAATAGTAAGAAGTATTGAAATAACCACTGTGCAGACATTTAATAATTTACATTACTCTCATATTAATCATTGAATAGTACAAATCAATAGTGTGTAAAAATGTGCAAAATTAAATTAATAGTGCACATTCTGTACAGTATATACAATTGAATATTTCTAGCAGCGTTCAATAAACGGAAGAAGTAACCGCCAAACAATAACATACAACAAAATAGTAAAAGAAAAATTAACAAACTCAGAAGACAATTATGACGATTGAGCAGAGACCATTGATGCATAATTATTGTGAAACAGTCTATGGACTGTGATGCAAGCTTCAGTTTGTACGAAAGAGACTCAGCAAGCGGAGCAGCAAAATTATAATCTGCCATTTTGGTTACACTTTCAATAGAATTTTTGATATCACAATATAATTCTAAAAAGCACATAGATTGAAAGTACATGATAAAAACAAATATCGACGACAGTGCTCATTTCAAAGATTGTCATTTTTCTTCCAAATTATAAACCTCTCATAGCATAAGAACCCCTAATAGCATAAGAATCCACTGGAATCGTTCAAGTGAAAGAAACTTGGAAAATCTAATTGTAAGACTGCTTCGAAGAAGCAAAATACACCACAAAGAAGGAAGTAGCACTGGCATTTAAAATTCGAGAAAAAAATCTTTAAGTGTAATAAATTAGATAATGCATTAAGAAAACCAAAGCACAGTTAAGGGGTAACAAATATCATAAAACTAGTTACCTAGCAACGAGTTATCCAGTAAATCAACAGAATCAAAATGGATGCATTCATAAAAAGACTATTATTTCAGAAGGACGCGAAGACAGAAGAAAACGAAGTCTCTATTTTGATAAAAAGAGAAACAATAAAATGGATAATAAATTCTAGCCATACTTCGCACATAGTAAACGATAAAAATCTTATTAAAAAATGTGAAGGAAATTAATACAAAGATAGACATAGATAAGACTACAAATCGATGTACGGCTAAGAGATTGGTAACATGCAGTATGAAGATGTGATCTCAAAAATGTAATGTATACCAACTAACAATAACCTTGATTTAATTCAACGTTATTATAAATCAAGCTGGAAAAATGATATTCCAATTTTAAATTAGTTTTAATTTAGAAGAAACGAAATTCCAGTTTTAAAAAAAGGCGAAAAACATAATGCACATTAATCTCTGTGGATTAGTCCATCATTAACACGGAACGGCAAAAAATGCAACAGACTTTTAAAACGCGTTTTGTCCAAAATTTAATTTTTTTAATTAGAGATGGCAATGTTATTAGAGATGATAGTGTTGAAGACTCATATTTTAACCTACTCTATGTTTTGAAAGCATTTTCTCGCCATCAATTTATATGCTAAAAAAAGTCTAAATATTCAAAATGCATATGTTCTTTTTATAAAAACAAACAAAATGCGTTTGTTTATCATTTTTAGCAATTTTGTTTAACATTTCATACTGATTGGCAAATTATTATTTTCTATAAGGCGCGTTTTTTGTGGCTTTCTTTTTTGTTTTCTAAAAATTATTAATTTTGGACAAAACTTATTTTTAAAATTTGCTTCTTAGATTTTTCATTCCTTTTTTGGATTGATTTCTCAAGATTGTGACAGTGTACCTTATTGTAAGCAAATCTGAAGTCACAGAAACTGCAGCAAGAACTTTCATAAAACAAATGAAGGCAAAATTTACACTATATGTAGTAAAATTATGTAATAATGGCAAAAAACGAAAAACTAAAAAATTGGTGTACAGAGAAAGGATTTGAAGTAAATTTTACCATCTCCTATACGTCGCAACAGAAGATAGTCTAATGATAGTCTGATAGAAAAAAATAAGAACTCTGCTTTTCAACTCTGACTTAAAGAAAATAATGTGAAGTGAAGCAATATATGCAGTGACATATCTGCTTAATAATAATAACATATCTGCACTATTAAAAACCAATAATGTAAATTCTCCAGTGAAAAAGTTCTCCAGTGAAAAGAGAAAGAAAGAAATCGAATTTGATTCGGGTTTGCGTTTTTATATGTGAGGCTTATGCCAAAATACAAAGTCCAATAAAAAAATTAGATGGAAAAAACAAAAAATGTATCTATCTACAATATATGCACCGACTGAGGTTACTGATTAGAAAGAAAAAGAAAAAAAATTCTGGCAAGAGACATTAA